GCACCCCTCGACCGGAGCCTCAAAGTGGAGAGAAACAGTGCCGTGCCGGTCTTTTTTTTCTCGTGTCTCCAATTCTTTTTTTTTTCGTTCTTTATATGCTTCCCCATCAGAGCCTCAAGAAGGAACGGGGGGAAGAGGGGGGGGGGGAGGAAGATGCCTCCACTCACCCACCTAGATTTTGGTGGACGTACGGCGGAGTTGAAGTTGGGAGGAGGATGTATATTACACGTAAATCGAAACCAAAAAAAAAATGTAGGATGTTACAGGGAAGACAGGAAGGAGAAGAGAAATTTGAAATGGCCCCCAACTGGAGGGGCAAGCCACACCGCCACATTTACGTTGAACGCCACGTACTCTTACATGATTTATATGTATGTACAGATTACTCCGTACAAGATGAAATACTACACGTCCATATCTCGGGTATTATTACCTCTTGCCAAATGTTGATGGATATTGCCAAGTTGTCAAGTAATAATATAGTAGTCTGGACGGATATGGATTTGTCAGACCTGCATCGATCAATGACACGACTCCTATTACCTAGTAATGATAGTATTGTTATATGTACGAATATTTAGTCGTGTGCGCTGCCGACTCGGTGCAATGTTAATACCCTACTGAGTACTGACAGAAAAAAAATTCAATATCAGGGTCAATGCACGACGTACGCCAAGTATTGCGACGTATCAAAGGAGATCATATGTACGTGTTCGTAGGCATGCAGATATTTGGCGTCAGAGGAATAGAATGAATGGATGAAATACTGCACATTTTTTAGGCATAAAAATAAGAAGAAGAAGACCGGTTGTATTACCTATACTACCAACTGTTATTACGAATTGTCCAATACGTGTGATACTAGTAATAGGCATGTATCGATACTCGTACGGACACAGGTCAGTATCACGGTCATGACTTAGAGTGAGAGACGTCAAGGTGATTTAGGGAAATTCCAATCGTCCCGGAAATGACTTGGGGGTTCATCACCTTGCCAGCGTTAGAGAGAAGAGGACAGTCGCGATAGGAAGTCTGGTTGAAATATCAAAATATTATATATATATATATATATATATAATAATAATAATAATAATAATAATAATAATAAAAAGTCGGTTATCAAGGCCGCCAAAGTACATATACAGTATCGAACCCCTCGGGCTTCCTTCTGCATCGTTTACAAGTACGAGTACGTACGTGTACTTGACTGATACAGATAAGTGCTCGTATGATCATCATACGACTGCTATATCGTAGCCATTCTATAATTCCTATAAATGTACTACACCAGTACGTACAGGCATGAATAGGATGTGAAATGTACAGTGTAGAATGTAGGCTAAGAAAAATTCCCTTTGAAAGGAAAAGGGTTTCACCTGTACATAAAATAAAATATTTTCCAATACACCAAGACTTACTCGTATTTCTGATATATTGATCAGCAGGTCAACTGCTCGGTGCTCGTACATGAACGCGTGGTGTATTCGTACTCGTCCACATCTGATATCAAATACGTCACCGCTACTGCCGCCAGAGCAGAAAGGGACAGGCAGGAAAGAAAAAGCGAAGGGGAGAGACAGAAAGGAAAAAAAAAAAAAAAAAAAACACCCGTCCGTTATTTGCAATATTGCAGGGGTTTAGGGGAATGAGAGGGAGACAAGGACTCTCCGAAGAGAGAGGGAAAAAAGTCTAGCGCAACCCTGCAATACAGTTTTGCCTGCATGTTCCCATGGCCCAAGCTGCCAGAGCAGGGCCCCAATGCATCGTGAGGACATGTACAATTACGTCTATACGTAGTAGACAACGCCTTTCATCTATTCTTTCTCTTTCTCTTCCCCCCTCTGTCTGTTCCATGTAAGCAATATCATGTTAGTGACCGGGGGGGTAGGGGGG